ATATCATAATCAAACTTAAAGTTCATATTAAAACTGAGATAAGTTCTTGTAACAAGTGCATGTATAAATTGAGTTTCTTAATATGATTATATATATAGAGTTATAAATTGTAGTTATTTTTGTCACATCCAAAACATATTAACATAAAAAATAAAGATAATTTCAAAAGATATATTTCATCATTTTATAGTTCATAACCAAAGTTAGTTTGTTGAATCCAAAAATTAAATTTTAAAAATATTAAATCAAAACTACCAATCCAAAATTAAATAACAAGAGAAAATCAAATCAAAAGACTGTCAAAGCTCAAATTATCATCACCGGAGCTGGAGTCGTCATCGTCGGAACTCGAATTATCATCACCGAAGATCGAATCCTCATCACTGCAACTCCTTATGTTTTCTTGAAGGAAGTTACATGAATCGTTTTCTTCTCACTATATTTTCGTTTTTTTCCAGATAAAAAATGAAGAAAAAAATTGCGGGTTCGTATAATCCCGCATGACCCGTTTCGGCCCATCCCGCAAAAGATTCAGTCCCACAAAAGATCCAATTCCGTAAAAATCCGTCCCTCAAGGCCTGAAAATTTGCAGGCCTAAAAAAACCTTGTTCCAATACCGTCTCGCGACAGTCTTTTACGGGATAGGTCTGCGATCCAGGTCCATAGTTACCATCTCTATGGAATACTAGTTGAATTATTTTGTATTTTGATTTCTATCAATATATTATACCTCCTAAATTTTTTTTCTCTCTTGTTGATCAAATTTTTTTTTTCCATTTTTTCTCTCATTTTTATTAAAATATATAAATGAAAATCAAACCGAACAAGAATCTTGAAATTCCGACCGGGGAAAAATTAGAAACGAGAAAGAACCGGACAAGACTTCTCGGTTTAAACACAAACACAAAAAAACAAGCGAGATGCACGCGCGAAACAAACGCGTTGGGGAAAACATAAACAAAATAAAAGAAGTAAAAATTGAATGTAAGAAGACTTTTCAGAGAGACCAAACAACCCATTGTCCGATCAACACCGATCTACTTCACCAGGCATGTTCTCACACGTGTCTTTTTCAACTCAGATTCGACTTTTACTTCGACTCTAGTCTCCGTTATGCTCTTCACCATCACTAAAACTTAGGGTTCATCGAGTGTAAGTAACTGAGTGAGATGAAGGGAGAAGGTAAAGTGTTCTTCTTGAAGTCTCGCATGAAATGGATTGGTCTTCTTGGTCTCGTCTTGTCTGCTTTCTCTCTCCTTGTCCATTTTCTTCTCGCCGGATTCACCGATGACTCCATCTCTGATTACTCTATCCCTGTCACTCTCTTCTCCTGGAGACCCGTCTTCGAGAATCCAAGATTCAACCGAAATGTACTGTACTCTCTCTGTTTCTTTTTGATCTGATTCTCAAGTGTTTTAAGTGGATCTCCATTGTTGATGAGAAAAGAAAGAATCTTTATTAATTTTTCTCAAGTGGGCCATTCTTCATTTTTTTCAATGAGACTCACATCTTCTTTCCATAGATAATATAGAAATCGTTTTTATGTTTTCCTTTCCTAAAAAAAGTGTTCTAACCTTTGTGTTTGTAGGAATAGTAATGACTCTATTGCCTTTTTTAGTTTTTGAAAATTTATCAATTGGTTTTAGATATTGGACCAAGATTTGTACTTATTTATGTAATACTTTACTATTGTGTGTTTAGCTTTTTGATCTTGGAACTTACTTTTTTGATGTATGTTGTAGACTCCATTGTACAGAAGACTCTGGGGTCAAACAAGGCATGTTGAGTCATTACTTCCTTATGCTAATCCAAGAGGTTACCATTCAGGTTTGCTTCTTTTTTTAGCTAAATTTCATGTTTCTCTTCCTACATTGTCTGATCTGGAACTGAATCTTTGAGTTTGTGTTCTTTTGGCTGACCTTGTTGTCTTTTGAGTTTAAGTATCTCATTGCGTTTAATTTGTTTTGTTTTCGTAGATCCTCCAGCAAGGACAAACGGTTTTGTCTTCGTTAGAATACAAGGAGGTTTTCATGAGATTAGAAACTCGGTAGGGACAAGAAAATTCATATCATCTTGATTCTTGACATTTTTTAATCAAATGTGACACTTCTAATGGCTTTTCAACTTTGGTCATCTTTTTAGATTCCTGACGTTGTAGCTGTTTCTCGGCTTCTTAATGCCACTTTGGTTATCCCTGAGATCCAATCAACAACCAGCAGCAAAGGGATTAGGTTAAGACTTAATTACTGAATCACTATGATTGATCATGTTGTTTTGGTTCTTTGCTCTAACATATTATTGTTCACGAGCAGCTCACAGTTTAAGAGCTTTGCATATCTATACAACGAAGAGCACTTCATGGCTTCACTTGCTAAGGACGTTAGAGTTGTTAAAACTCTCCCCAAGAATCTCAAATGGGCCAGGAGAAAAAAACAGATCCCTTCTTTTAAAGTCTCTTACGGATCTTCTCCTTATTACTACTTACACCATGTTCTACCTGTTCTCATTAAACACTCGGTGGTTGAACTTGTTGTCACTAACGGTGGATGCTTACAAGTAATGAATCTAAATCACTTCCTCTATAGTAGTAATCATTGACTATATGTTCTAATTGATTTTCTTCATGTAGGCTATACTTCCAAGTAATCTTGAAGAGTATCAGAGGCTACGGTGTAGAGTTGCTTTCCACGCCTTACAGTTTAGGAAAGAAGTTCAAGAACTGTCCACTAAAGTGTTGCAAAGACTGAGACCTTTGGGGAGACCTTTCATCGCTTATGATCCAGGGATGACAAGAGAAGCTTTGGCTTATCATGGCTGTGCTGAACTGTTCCAGGTACTTTTGAAGTTTTACCATATTGTACTGTTTGGCAAAAAAAAGTTGTTAGGACTTACGTGTCTATTTCATTTTGGAGCTGCTTGAAGGATGTTCATACAGAGTTGATTCAACATAAACGAGCTTGGATGATAAAACGTGGGATTGTCAAAGGGAAGCTCTCTGTAGACTCAGCTGAGCAACGTCTCCAGGGCTTATGTCCTCTCATGCCAGAAGAAGTATGCTACATTATCTACAGATCTTATTTCAATAAAGTAACAAATGGTTCTAAAAATCGGTCCATGGCGGCAAATCGGTCCTAGCCGAAATGATTTTCGAATTGGTTTAAATTGGTTTAAACCATTTTAAATCGGTTTAAACCTTTATATATCGTTTTAAATTGGTTTAAACCATTTTAAATCGGTTTAAGTAGGTCTAAATCTGTTAAATTAATCAATAATTTCAGTACAAATCCACAAATTTGTCTAAATTTCTATTGTTTTGTATATCTAATTTTGATAGTTCATTAAAATAATTTTGTAATTAAAACCAAAAACTAAAATATTTTGTATATAACTGTAAAATATATAAAATAAATCAATAATTTGTTAATTGTAAAATATATAAAATAATCAGTCTAGTAGCTAATCCTCTTTAAAAGTGCCTAGTTACAGACTACTGATTTCTTGAACATAAACCTTATTAAATACTTTTGAATCTATCTTTCTCTCAGGTTGGTATTCTTCTACGAGCTTATGGATACTCATGGGACACAATCATATACGTAGCTGGAGGAGAGGTTTTTGGAGGACAGAGAACGTTAATTCCATTACACGGCATGTTTGAAAACGTAGTTGACCGAACTTCCCTCAGTACAGGATGGGAACTGGCTAAAATGTATGGTCGTGAGTCAAAACATAAAGACATCAGACCAGTGACACCTCCTTCAGTGGAGGAAGAAACAAAACATGACTCGTTGAAGAGCATAAGACAAAGGCCTCAGCCACTTCCTCCTCCACCAGCTAGACCAAAGTACTACAACATAGAAGGTTGGTGGGGCTGGGTGGCTGAGAGTGACAATGAGCCTGAGAACACGGTTATTGAGTTGAGAACTAACGCTCACAAGTTGTTGTGGGAGGCGATTGATTACGTTGTGAGCGTTGAAGCTGATGTGTTTATCCCTGGTTTTGATCGTGATGGGAAAGGACATCCGAGTTTTGCTAGTTTGGTGATGGGTCATAGGCTTTATCAGTCTGCTTCTGCTAAGACATTTAGACCAGACAGGTGATGTAATGTAACTTATCATACTCATAAGATTTATGTGTAGTAGTAATCAAGACGTTTTGATTATATACTTGCAGGAAAGAAACTGCAATGCTTTTGGAAGAGATAAGGGATCATATGTATGAGGCGAATCACACTTGGATAGCATCTGTTAGGAAGCTTCTCAGGAGAAGTATACTTGAGGGTTTAGTTGAATCTTCTAAAAGATCAAAAGCCTTTAGTTTCCTTTCGCATCCTGTTCCTGAATGTTCTTGCATTAAGCGGGGACAAAGGGTTTTAAACGTCTCACTGGTTGAAGTGGATCTTGGGGTGACGCACCGTTGTCCGCAAAGGATGGATGGTGTTGTTGTAGTTGGAAGATCAAAGGATAATAAGAATGCAGAGAAAGAAGAGGATCTTGATGAAGAGGACTTGTCTTCTTCAGGATTGTTCTTTGGTCACAGTAATAGTAACAATGAGACTGTAAATTCTGAAGCTAACAACAAGGAGGAAGGGCAGCTTGAAGATCAAGAAGAGCTTGAGGGTGGCGAAAGATAAGCTGAGTTTTTGAGAACTTAATTGGTTTTTGATTGAATTATGCAATAGCTTATTATATATAGACCACGAGCAAGTCCTAGGTACCGAGTAGATCTAACTAGGAAAGCTCACTTCTTGGGTTGCAGTATTTTCTTCTTTTCTCAAAATTAGTTTATAGCCTTGGTTATTAGGTTTGTGTATGAGAAGAGACATCTTTTTGGTGATCAATTTTACAACAGTTCAGTGTGTGCTTAAGTGATTTTTATGAGCATAGTTCTATGTTATATGATCTCAGTGGCAAGAAGAATGGTTCAACTCTTTCTTTGAATGATAGATTTTTGGTTTCCAAAAGGTTTTGTGCAAGAGTAAAATAGAGAACTGAATGTCATTAAAACTCATTCTTGTAACAAGCTACTCAACTCTTGTTAATACGGAATCAAACAATCTCAAGAAACTCTGTGATACAAATACAAAATCAGTATGCGTAAAAAACAATAACCAAACCCACAAAATACAAAGCGAGGCCCTTTGCAAACCAATGCTGGGAACAGAAAGCAAGACCTATAATCACACAGTTGGTTGTTATTATGGAGAAGAGTACCGTTTTATATACACATTGTACCTTGGTGAAATTTTTGTGAATCCTGGGAACATATGTTTCCTAGAGACTTCTGCTAAATACCCTCTCGTTTTTGTCTTGCACGGAGCAACCTTCAAACTCGGCGATGATAGGTATTTGCTCATCCTTATCGTAAAAGGCAATAGGATGATTTCACATGGTTATGCCACGCTGCAACGTTCTGCCCATCTACCGTGACCCAGTCCACAACAGTTGCAGCAGGTTGTTCGTACCATTCGTCCAGCTGCATTCAAATACAACATATGCTCTTTATTACCCCATTCATTCATTAGTGTGACTAAACCATGATTAATTATTCCGTAATAACTATTTTTAAATCACTTAGGAACCCACACCTTGTCGTTCACAAAAAAAAAGGAACCCACACCTTATGTTATAGAGCAAGAATGGCTTAATCGATGTAGGTAAGAGAATAGCATCATAATGATAATAACAGTGAGCTTAATATAGTTCAAGGAGTTGCTTACCAAACCCCACACGTGTTTGCAGTGCTCCAAGGAGGCTTGAGCATTCAAGACCGCTGTCTTGAGCTCAGGCAACCATTTCTCTGTTATTGTATTATCTTGTTCTGTGGCAAGATCTAAGCAATGCTTAGTTGTCCTGCACATTGTATTCTCACATAAAGAATGGATCAAGCAAAAAAAGTAATATGGCATTACTGAGATGATAACGGTGCTATCATCCACACGATAGTACAGAGAGGCACGACTTACCTTTCATATTCTTGCTGGGCATGGTAAGCATGGCTTAACAGGGCACGACCACTTTCCACTAAATCTTGACGTATATCCACCATGTTGATTGCTTTTGCTAAATCTTCCAACACACATGCCTCGGAGCCGCGGAGCCTCAAGCAGAACTCAAGAGACTCTAAAACTGATGCCAAACTTGCATCTGAACCCTCCACACCTGTATAAATAGCAAGAATATTGGCTACAGCACGCCCAACAGTAAATCCGCAACTTGTGAACGATGCAGGTAAAGGGAAAAGATAGAGAACTCAAGCAAGCCCTAATCCACGTAGAGAAACCAGCCATTCAAAGATAAGCCTTGATATGTTTGTTTTGGTTGGGTTGTTTAAACAAACAACTCTACAGAACTAAATATATTGTCGTTCATAAGGCGAATAATAATAATTTGACAAGGAAAAAAAAAAGAGACTTACCCGCAGGATACTGAAGGGCGGCAGAAATTCGGCAAATAGAAGGAATTGCTGATGGATCTCTGGCACCAGCTCTTGCAGTCAAGAGAGCAGCATTCTTCTCTGCTGACGCAACAGCTTCAGGTCCTGTTGACCCACTAGCTCCCATAGACTCCAGAAGGGCCTAGTTAAGAAAAAGACTCAAATAGATATGAACATAATGGTAGAGGTAGCATTCAAGTTTGCAAAAACAAAACAGCATGAAACCTAGTGGAAACCATACCGCTACAGCAATTAAAGCAGTAAAAATCATGGATAGCAAAATTTCCCCTATGGTTCAGTAATATTAAACTCGCAATCAAAAGAATCCTTGTATAAGTAACCACCATTTTCAGTTTGTAATCATCCAAAAAATATATCTTTGATTCTGTGTAATATATGTCTTATAGATTGTTATCACACAGATGCGGAGAGAATACAGACCTGCGGAGTTGCTGGAAGCATATAGAGGGAGTTATCAGGACTTTGGAAGAAAGCAGACACTTCTTTCTCAATGAGATCTTTAGCGTTCTTTGAAATGTCTGCAACAATTTCACTAGCCGGAATTATAGTCGCCATTGCGTATTCCCTTGCAACTAATGGCTGCTGACTCCAGAATGCAGCAGCATCCTGAGCAAAAATCGGATCATCACAAGGGAATTAAGCCACTCGCAATTAATATGTTTACAGTTCAATAACAATATTAACTGGAATATTACCATGTTGGCCTTGAGAAGAGTAGTGTATATGGTTTCAAGTTCGGATCTGCGAGCATCAAATTCTTCAATTTTCTTCCACTTTTGTTTTAAGGAATGTTCAGCTTCTTTTCTTTCAGCGGATAGTTTATTCAGTCGTTGTATTTCAGATATCAATGTATTTAAGCTAGCCCTCAACCCAGCAGCTTCTCGTTCCTTGCCCCATACGTCCAACTGCCAAAAATATATAGCTTGGTCAAGCAAATATCTTAAACTTAAGATGGACATTCTTGATAACTAGATTAGTTACATATTGCAGACTGGAGAACGAAATATAATTAACTCCGGTGTTGCTAAAGATAAGAGTATAATGACAGAGGCAAGTTGGAGAGAGACGTATTTTAGAGCACAGGACGAAGATGTATAAAACGATTAACTAAAATCACGGAAAAACCAAGGAGTATCTGGAATTTACCTCCAATTGCCTAAGATTTTTAACATTCTGTGACATGCCTCCACCAAGTGGATTTGAAGAAACTGCGTCAGCACTTCCATGCAAACGGTTTTTAAGTTTCTGACACAAAACCCGAGCTTCTGCGGCTTTGTTTAGTGCATCTTCAGTTCCCAAAAATTGTTGCACATGTGCTTTCTGGATACAAGCATGCGTAGAAGATGAGATAAACGTAAATCATACAGTGTAAAAATGTAAATGCACTATCTGGCCAAAAGAAAATCCATAAGTGCTACTAAGCCATTTGCTAAACATTAAGCTTGGAATTATGTCCTCTCTAAACATAATATGCTGAAACAAGAGGGGAATCAGATAAGGAGAGCAACCTGCCGTTCAAGGAGCTGGTTGTTTGATCCTTTGGAATTAGTATCTGCGTCCATCTTCCCATTACCATTAAACTGATAACTCAATGGCGAGCTTACATCAGAAGAAGAAATCTCCATTACCCGGTTGTTTTCGTACTTATACCTGTAGAATAGGTTTACAACAAATAGTTCACATTAGCTAATCAATAGACTGGAACATGAGTAATATACCCAATCCAGCAAAAGAAAAAGAGAGTCAAGTATCATTGATCAAACAAGCGTAAAAGCAAGACAAGGAACAGCCTATATAACAACCAGATAAGACACATTTGAATGAAAGTGAGCTATATGCCTCTGCATTTTCAATAAATCAGTAGAAATAGCATGGAAGGTGCGCATTCAAGTGAATCAAACACGGCTGAAGCAGAAATGCACATTTATAGAAAAGGCATTGTAAGGAAAGTCGAGAGGCACCTCAATGTTTCAGCATCAGCTCTGACATCAACCCTCTCTATCTCCTTAGATATAAGGGTCTTAAGCCGTAAGGTATGTGCAGCAATAGCTTGAAGAAGTAGAGGAGGACTACTCAAACAATTCATCACAACACCTCTAACCTCATCAGATATCTCTCCATCATACTCAAAACTCAGCTTCGCAGTCTCCACCTCAGGATGCGAATGAATCCCATTCCCTTCATAAGCAGGGAAAGAGTTACAAATCCTCTCAACCATGAGCGACGCAAGTGACTCACAAGCTCTCCTAATACTCCGTTCTCGCGTCGTCTCCACAAGAATCACATCATCCACCAACTTACTCCCCTTCACAGAGGAATAAACAGCTTCCCCCCTCTCGCTATTACTACTCACCTTACTCGACAAATCACTCAAAGAATCCAAACTCAACCTCTGCGCATTCCTCGCTTGATTAACATACACTTGCAACCTCTTATGATACTCCCCAAATATCCTCGCCGCTTCATCACACTGCTGATCATAACCTTCCAACATCACTTGCTTATGCCTACAAAACAAACAAAAAACAATTCAAAAAACCAAAAAAAAATGAATACTTTCACAGATCAAACAATTCAAAAACCAATAAAAACGAATACTTTCTTTCTTCAAGAGGCTTAAAACCTGTAATTAGCCCTCTCATCAAGCATCCTCTTCCTCTCAGCTTCTTCTCTCGAAACCTCAAGCATCCTCGCCTTAAGATCCTTCCTTTGCCTCCTCACAACGTTCCTCAACCTCTCAACTTCATTCGCAGCCATCTCTCTCTCACTCAACGCAGCCTCTCTGCTCTCCTTCTCCTTACGCCTCCCTTTAGCTCTACTCTCCTCCTTAACCGGATTGGGAACGACGTTAGCATCGGTATTACTGCTGGTGCTACCGTGGACGGTGATGTTACGTCTGATGGTGTCGACGGTCTTCTCGGACTTGGCTCGGTTCATTAGGAAGCTCCAGATGGGAATCATGTTGCCTCTGCAGATCTTTCTGATGGAATCTAGGGATGGGACGTGGGATTTGCTTCGGTATCCCATTTCTTTTTGGAGCCATTCGAGTATGGCTTCTGGTGTTGGAGATGAGTTTGGTACGGGTTGCATTTTTGTGATTGGGGAAAGGAGGAGAGTTTTAGGGTTCGATGAGTGTTGGCATTTGTGGTTGGGGTTTTGGTAATTGTTGGCGATTGAGGAGATGAGCAGATCTGGGAACGATGAAGAACGATAGAGAGAGAGATTGCGAAAAATCGAAGAGAAGAGATTCAGTGATGATGAGGTTTCTCTCTCACTCTTGTGTTCGACAGATTTGAATTGAAACGAGTCCGGGTACGGGTACGGGTACGGGTCGAAATGTTTAGTAGGTGATGGATTGATATGCAGATGGGACGAAACAAAATAATGGGGTCGTGTTTAAATTTCGGAACAAATGAAGGGGGTATACTGAGAAATTATATTTCATGAGGGTGGTGAGCAGGAAAACTGGAAAACTAAACAGAACCGAACCAATTTTTTTTTTGGTCATGAACTGATTAAATTAATGTAAATATCAAACGAGATAAAACGGTTACATCCTAGTATCATTTCGCTATATATATGTTATGTCGATCCTAGATGCTTTCATTTAGAGTAAGCTAAGACATCAGAAAGATTCAAGCCTAGATAAAAATATATACTTTATTGATGGAGATATCAACTTCTATGGAGAATCAGACGATGAAAAATATCAATATAGAAACGTTTTAGAAACTTGATACAAATTTTTAAATTATTGAACAAATTTTCACAAGAGTTTTGGACAATTGTTGTATGCAATATATTTCTACTGTACTGTTTCCCATACATGGTGGAAACCAAACCTGAATTGTTTCTATTCTTTGACAATATATATATATATATATATATATATATATATATATATGTGTGTGTGTGTGTATGTTTCAAATAATCTAAAAACTTCTTTGAACAAAAACAAAAAAGACATTCGGAAAAATTCATATGTTTACTGAAACTTTGACAAGTTTTAAGAAATTTTCAAAAAGTTCTAGGAATTTTCATGTGTATATCAAAAAAAGCATATATAAACTTCAAATTGTAAAAAAAAAAAACTGAATCTAACCCCAACATCCTAAATTCTAATAGCTATTTTACGTTTCGTTTAAAATTCTAATTGTATATCTAAACCCTATAGAGTGTAAGCATCGTCAAAACTCATTGCAGCTGTTTTTCTCGTTCGGTTCTTGCTCTTATTTATAATCCACTAAATTTTTGACAAAATGTTGTTGACAAAGATATATATGGCGTAATGGTTTTTTGTTGTATCATCATTTTGTTATTGCACTAATCCAAACTCGCAATATTGCATGTTACTAAGAAAAATAAATTCACAAAATATAAGCTACCATCATTAATAAAATATACAACATTACATTCAAGATACACACTTTTATAAAATTCGTTTCGAAGTTTGAAAACTTTAAAACATCTTAATTATGCCGGTTATCCGGGATTTGGTTCAACTTAAACCGAGAAGTTATTTCCTTACTAGGTAAGTAGATATTAAGTACTGAAAATAACAAACCGAGATGGCCTTTGGACCTCTATTCTCCAGTGAGCCGGGGCATCCAGTGCGGCAATGTTGTATTTTTTGGTCGAATTATTAGGGTTCCACTATCTACTTCTCCAACTTCATTCCTTTGCGAGATGTTCCTACAAGTAACATAATACTATTAATTCATTCCATATAATTAATCTATATCATCACATTGCAATGGTTATTTCATATGTATAAAATTGAAAAATTTAAAATTTAAAATGTAGCCAAGTCAAATCAATATATATAAAATTGAAAATTTATAGTACCCAAGAGGTAAAGGAGGATTGGGAGATATAGGTCCGGGCAACGGTTGCGGTGGCTCACATGGTGGCGCTGCCAATGAGGCTAACCCTTGGCTGAGGTTTTGAGGCTCAATGTCTTCTCTTTGATCAACCTGCCAAGCTCAATACATGCTTCTTATAGTCAGTACTTTGTATGTTCTTTCTTAACATTCAAACATAAATTAAGTATATGTAAAATCCGGAGATTTAGACTAAAATCTAGACTAATCGTGAGCCTTTAAACTTCATATTAGATAGGATCGAAATCACTTATATATGTATAGTCCAAGATTATGACATCTGTTTCACCTTCTTTGTTAGTTGTTTCTTCAGTTCTGTGAGTTCCTTCTCCTACGCCAACAAAAGATCCCACAGTTATGAATTTTTATTTTTTATGGTTTAAGTTAATGAATTTAATTTGTTTGGAATCTCAAGTATTCTGGATCTAAGTTCTGAAGTTGTGTTTCAAAGTTTCCAAAAGAGAAGAATAGCAGTCGTGAAGATCACATATATAGTCCAAGCTAGTATATGATTTGTACAAACACATAGCTAAAAAGACCGGCAGGTACTCAAAGACGTTTGCATGTTACAAACCGATAACAAAGAGTAATTTGTCTGTAAACTAGTACCTTTTTATGGAGCTGTGCTATGGACTCTAGCATGAGCTGGTTCTGTGCTCACAAACCAAAACAATAGCTACATGATTAGATATTATATCTATATATCTCTGTAAATATATATGCCTACACGCACTGAACATTATAAGACGCACATAGCTTTGTACAAATGATACAAGATGTAAGATAATGCTTTACGGATATAGATAAATAACCTTTCTAGAGCGAGTTCTCTTGAGGGAAGTATCAAGTTGCATCTCCAGACCCTGTAGCTCTCTGATACTTAGAGCATCAACCTCTTCTCCTTTTAAGTGCCTTGTTATATATTTGAAATAAACAAGTTAATAAATGCAAATGTAATTTACTATATTTTTAAAAATTAGAAATTTATATGGGTGATCGGTAAAAACCAAAAATATTATAACCTTAAGCTTCTTTGCATAGCATCAATCATCCTCAAGAGCTTCGAACATTCTATTGAGCACTCACCCTAAAAACAACAAGAATAAGACAAACAATACTTAGCCAAATTTGGGATTGACAATTGTCCATCCTTCATATGCAATAGATATTTGATTAATGTGCTTAAGAACCTGTGAATCCAAACTTGGGGTAGGAATATTTTGACCAGCGTAGGAACTTCTCTCATATCGATCAAGAATGCTTTCCATGCTAACATTGTTTAATTAAACTTGAATGAATACTTAATGTACATACTATGATCATACAGCATACTGAACATAATGAATATATACTGTCTCTTTTGTATCATTGTGTGTATATCTCCTTTTGTTTACCGGAAATGAATAATAATAACATTTCTGGATCATATGCATCACGCAGGTAATGTTTACTACTATTGAGAAGTTGAGAACATTCATCTACATTTCCACGCATTTTAAATACTGTATTTATGGATTTAGCACAGGATGTTTATATTCGTTTAATCGCCCTATTGTAGGCAAAGACTCAAACCTAAGCATAAGTGACCAAGTAGCCCACACTCAGAGTTTAATCAAGTGAAATCGAACTTGAGATTGTAACGAGCTTAGATATGCCCTTCCTTATACTCAATAAAACTGTACTACCACACACTTGATTTTATCACTATTTTACAGTATTTCTTAGACTAAAATAATATTATTAAATCAAACTTAACCAAATTTCTTACAACATTTTCGCAAGAATACTCATTTTTGGACATACTAATTAATGCTCAGAAGATAGAAAAGTAAAATCATCGGTGTGCATATATTTTCATGTGAAGATCGAGGTTAGTCCTAGGTTCCACCAACAAAAGGACAAAGCAAAGGCACAAAGCTCCATGACAAAGGCTTGTCATTCTTCCAACAACATTTTACTGTATATCTTAAAGGTTTACTATTAGTACAATCATAACTGAAAGCACACTCTATTTATAGTAGATTTGGTTTCTCTCTTTAGTAATTTTGTGTACATTTATATTTTTCAGTATGAAATCCTTCCCTATTGCACAAATTTTATATGATATGTTCTTCCTATATTTAGTAGGATCACTTCTTTTTCTCGCAGTTCATTTACACTAATGAATTATAGCGTTTATCAAAAGATGAGATCTATTATAATATACATGAACCTAGGACATTGGGTTAATTTGAAAGGTGTCATCATAATATGTCTCGTCGTGTTTTATTTTATATTTAGTGTTCTGTTTCGACAATCAATTACCATTCTAATTTGAGCTAAGCTAAATAATTATGTCAGATCGCTAGATTAATTCATAAAAAAGGACTTGCAATGTCAACAATTCTGTTCATTTTTTATATTGAATATCAGATAATATAACCATAACAAATTTAAATTTGTAATGTTGTTAGTACCAGAAACTGTGTGCAGTTAAAAGTTAAAACTCTTTTGTATTCGAATTATTGTAATAAATAAATAAAACTTCAATCTAACGCATAAAGCCATAAACGAACTTCAATCTAACGCACGAAACCAGTAAACAAACGTCAAAATCTAACATGATCGTAATAGACAAAGAAACTACCTTTGAACATTATCGTTAGGTTCAAATCCTACAGGTGTGAATCAAAAAACTATTTACAGACTTTAATCAAATTTGCTTTTCGGCTTTAAATCTCACCTTTCCGTAAGGTTTAAGAACAAAAGCTCACACATGAATTAAAAGAAAGATCTCTGATTATTTCATGGTATGTTAAACTCATTTTGGTTTATAGTTAGCACATTATCCACCATATATTTCTTGATATTCATATAATCAAAGGAACTGCATGTTATATCTCAGACTTCTGTTTTAATGACATAACTATCTCTACTCTCATCTGTTAATTGATTTGTATATGATGTTTAATATTTCACTTTATATGTTCTTCCCTGACTTAGAGATGCAAGTATGTGTTTTAACGTCCCACACATACTTAGCTATGACTCTATTTAATCAAATTATCTCAGCCAAAGTACACATCAATCTCAACTAGCTAAAACTTATCACTTGCCCCAATCTATCAAAACATGAAATATAAGCTGATATATATGTAGACAGATGAGAATAGATATGCGGTCTTAAAAAAAGTAACTAGAGGGTAAAATAAGATTCGAAAAAGTTAATTAGTTTATGAAGAAATTCAAACCTTGAACCAGCAGAGTACTCAAAGAGCTTGCCTTTTGGGGAGAAGACAATTAAAGCAACATCAGCATCACATAACACTGAGATCTCTTGAGCTTTCTTTACCAAACCCGTTCTTCGCTTTGAAAATGTCACTTGTCTCCTTATCTTGTTTTCGATCCGCCGTAACTGAACTCTTCCCCTTCCCATTTCTTATCAAGAACCCAAAGAAAGTTAAACGAATACCTTGTAACCTTAACCAGAAAATATAAGAAGACGAAAAACCCTAGATTCTCTCTCTTATAAAGACGAAAAGTAGAGTAAGATAAATTAAGCAAGGAGTTTATGTAAGTTTATATTTGTGTGAACTTACTCTACATAAATATGCTATATACACACAAAGGCATCTGAAGGAAAAAAGAGAAAGTATCAAATGATATAATTAGGGAAAGCGAAAGCACAAAAATTGTCTACATGTCTATGTGTCTGAAATAGTCTTCACTATTACTAGTTAATGGAGTAATTATTTTAACTAAAATTGCTGGTTTCAATTGTACGGAGTTTGGCCAGTTCTAATTCAATATACCTGTAATTATCAAGATCAAAGTTCTATCAACAAATGCTGTGAATTCATTGGATCTTTTGACCATATGGTATAAAATATATGAGTAGATAAGAAGATACATGAGAAAATATTAATAAATAACTTGACCTATCACAATGTTAACCCCCACATGATAACAAATTATTGCGTTAACGACAAAATTTACAAACCTCTTTTTTTTTTAATTTACAAACCCTTAAATGGAAAAGAAAAGATTTAATACATATACACGTATTAGAAGATCAACTAACAACTTACAAATATTTTGGTCAGAGTGGTTTACGTTGCGTGTATATATATACTGATCGAAGGGTTCATGTTTTACAAATTTTCACACTTACTAAAATAACATGTTAAATTTTAACTATTTAGTTTCAATAAAAATAATAATTATAAATGCATTGTTTTTTTATCAGCTATTTTTCATAATTCTTACCTACACAATTAATATCTTTAAAATTAACAATATACCATATTATATACATTGAAAATATAAAAAAAATATCTTTTAGAAAATTATTTTTTTCTAAATCATGGATCATTTTGAAACAGAGAGATTAGAAGTTTGTGAATGACTAAGAACATTTTCTCTTAGTTGCACAACAACCACCTCTTAAAAAAAGAATAGCCTCAATTTTGTAGTGGGACTAAATGCAAGAAATTTGTCCAAAATCTATAAGAAAAATCAAAAACCAATTTGGCCAAAAAAACAAGGAGTCATAAATATTTTTAGAACAAAAAGTCATAAACCTTATTAACAAACTAACGATTGTTTTAACAGATTTTGGTGGATGCAACCTAATAAAAGAGTCGTGATATGGAAAATATTAGTTAAACATGTTGATGGTGAATGTATTATACAAGTCAAATATATATGTCGTAATTCCAAATATTAAAGATAACTAGATTGACGAAAAAAGATAATTAGAATTGATATGTACGTCGTAGACAACATATCATAATTTATGATAATGACTAAATATCATTGATAATGATGTAGTTGATACAATGCTAAACATGTTGGCATAAACAAATTGAATATAATTTTATAATGGTAGAAAAATAAATTTCTTAAAAATTAATTCAACTTGTTTCAATTTGATAGATCATCATATATAACGATGCAAAATACGAAAACATAGAAATGAATATGCTAGCATATATAGAAAAGTTGCATTTCATATTTGACAGATCTTCGAATGCATGTAGAAGCCTAAAACGGTAAAACCTAGAAGAATCATGTGAAGTAAATAAAAGTCTAAGACTATATATCTTGTTAATCTTATTAACGAAAAATATTAACCTGTCGAGATTTATCTTTTCATTTACTAGATTATTTTTACAAAACAAAACTCAGCACAGCCAATTCATCACCATAAGGGTTTAGCTCAGTAGATTTTCTTCTTTTTAATGATGGAAATATTTGGTGGTAAAAACTAAGAAAATATCAAGGGTGTAACTATTTCTGTGTTATTTGCTAGAGATTTACTTTATGATGGACGTCTAATTTAAGTAATGGGTACAAATAAAATTTTAAAAGCTAACCTTATTTAATAAACTCATTTTTTTACACATTTAATAAAGTAAATATATTTAAAAAAACATTTCCTGTGCTACATAATATAAAATAAAATAAAAATTTACTATCTTTGGAAAAAATAAAATGTTTCATGTTTAATACAAATTTGAAGTATATATGATATTTTATTACTGATTATACACAACTGGGCTTATGCTATAATCATCTACCAGAACCAATTTAAATGCATACGAGGAAAATCGTCGAAAGTAACTTTGAACATGAAATCGAAGAAGATTGACCGTCGCACAGAAGGCCAAACTATATATAAGGGTTGTAAACATAATTGACATACCAAAATGCATATTAAGGCACGTATTTTTATATAGATGTATGCTAAATGCTAATGCATGGGACAATATATACACATGTACATGTACACAACCCCTTACGAGTACATATGCTATGGTTTATATATAGAAGTAAATGCGATTGCCTGTGTAATTCTGAACGTTTGATCGATTCCAAATTAATAATAAGCTAGTTTGGGTTAATGCGATTTCGTACTAAATTGGTGATAAAAAACTTGAGCGCGATAGACCTTTCATGGGTCACCTTCAGTTGTGGTCCATGCATTGCACTAAAATGTAATAATATTTACTCACTTTTTTGAAAATTCATATATTAAGAGATAAATGTGTACCATTACCAATTGCCGAAAGATGGTGTACTATTACCAACTTATATATCAAAGATTATGGGGACCATGATGCATGAATTAGGCTTCCAAATTGTACTGAACCCTAATATTCAAATCTCACGCTGAGTTATCAAAGGTTGGGGGACCATCCGATTTCGCGGTCCGAGTAGTAAACAATTTAAAAGATAACTTATTTTTTGTCAGACAAAGAAAAGTAGAAAACGTTCTATAATAAAATACGAAATAGATGTGTTTTCATTAGTGGGATTATAAGACATGGTTACTAGGATGATGGATGACATGCTCCTTGGGAGCAACTAGTGTATATATAATATAGTTATATATTTGAAGAATCAAGTAGATGTGGTACCACAAATGTAGGGCAAAGGGGAACTCTTACACGATGTTGCAATTCCGAAGACAAGTAGTTTGTATATTGCAATTGACCCTTTGATAAGATTTAGGGACATGGCTTTTTTTACTCCCAACGTTCTTTAACTTTTACATATATGTTCTTTTTCATGATAAGTTATATGAATGCACAACCTAAAATAAATCGACACATTTGGACTACAACAGTTAATGTGCCCTAAGTTTATTTTATATCTCATTTTATTTTTGATATAGAAATCCTTACACTTTTAAAGAGCAAAACCTAAAATATATAAATTTATACTCTGCTCGCACTAATTTACATATATATATATATATATAGTGTTTAATTTATACTCTGCTCGAAGATAGTGTTTAATTTAAATTAGTTATAAAGATCCAAGAACAACATTTTAGTATCATAATGTTGAAAAAAGTATCATAACTGTAATTTATTGTGCAGTCTGAACCATAGTCCCCAAATGTTGACTAACAACATCAAATTTTGGAATTAATCTGGTTTTAATCTTATTATAGAAATAATATTTGTTTATTTGGATAAAAATCTAGCCATGTATGTAAGAAAATAAATAGGAAACTTACCAGGATTGAAAATATGTAGTCAAACTCGACAAATTAAAAGTGTTGAGAAAATATGCAAATTGAACTTGAATTAAAAAATAGAGAACAAAATTCAAATGAAATAACTAAATGTATTTAATTAAGGTTTGTTTACTAATTATATGAATGGATAAATTAATATTTTTAAAATTCATATTTATGTTTTAAAATTTTCATTTTATGGACCAAGCAAAGGTAATTTTCTACTAGTACATCGAGATTTAAATTATTTTTAAAAGCAATGGAAAGAGATAAAAGCAGTAGAAAGAGATAAAAGCAATAGAACGTCTTTAATAATACAATTGTTCTAGAAAACAAGAAGAGTCCACTAATAATTAAAGCATGAGAAGATTCTTAAACCATATTAAAGAAAAGATAGTTGAAGATTAGGGAAGATGCTGGTGCATATAATTAGGCACCATTCTTCCTTGCTCCAGTTTGCACCATCAACCTTTTTCTTTTCTTTTTTCCTTTTGAGCATCCATCACAATAATTATGAATTGAACCCTCTTTTGGAAAATGAGCACAAATGTATCAACATCTAAGTGGTTAGGATGACCAAAAATTAAAGATCCTCCTATATATTTATTGAGAAGTCACTTAAATGATTTTTGTATAAGTATCGATCATTGGTGAAGTGTTGATTAAATTGTTATAATTTGATTTGTCGATGATTTTAAATTATTTTAATTATAATTTACTTGATCGATGATTTTTATTTGTATTAAATGATATTCCAAATAATGATTTTTGGTAACTAATTTTTGGAATTAAATAAAGAGTAATAATTTTTAATTAATTCTTCTTATCGTTTTAATCTACATAACATAATGAAAAAAATTATACTCATTCAATGATTGTTAAAATGTGAAAAAAGAAAAAAAAAAGATAATGAGAGAAATTATAAAATGTTGAAGATGATGCATAATATGTGTTAGAGAAGTTAATATGATGATGATTGTATTTTTTTGTCATCAACAGAAACATAATATAAGCATATATAATTTCACTGACATTTGTTACTATTAAACACTCATCAATTATTTAAATCAAATTTATGAAATTGTACAACTGAAAATTGATTTACATTAAAATTGAATGTGGTGATAGGTAAGACAATGTACTATTATAAAGTGTTTTAACCAAGATTTATAGGTTCACTGATCATGAGTTCGTTAATCATTTGACCAAAATCATGTATAATAAAATTTTTTTAGCAACTTAGACTAATACTACTGTATTATCACTAAATCTTTCTAATGTTTCTAATCATTAGTCAAAATTTTATAACAGTATATATAATATATATTTTTCATACAATATTTATATCCGTAAGTTTGCGTACAACCACCTATTAAGCTATTGAAACGATTGAAAACTTACAAATGCATCAACATCCATATATCAAATTACAGACTATGGGAATTGTAAGAACTAACTTTTTGAGAGTTACGTTCATATAACACTTTTTAATGGAAACCCCCTAATCCTTTAATGTTTTATGAAAAATTAAGCTTTGTAGATTTCTAATAAAATATTATTTGTCAATAAATAATTTGGTCACTAGTTTTATATATCTTTTAGTTTTAGTTTTTTATGAGAAATTATTTATGAGTGAGATAATTCGATTTTGTAAGTATTCATTTTGATTTTTAGTGTCGGTTTACAAAACAACTTTTGGATCATGTTGGTTTTTAAATTAGATCAGAAGCTGATATCGTTTGAGTTTTATGTACTTTTAATTAGAAA